AACTTTGTTGGTTGGCTTTTTTCCAATATTCATTCTTTTAGATTTTTAAGGAGAAAAAAAAACCCAAAAAAAAAGTTCAATTAGGGTTAACTCACATGTTGAGCTGTGATATGTGATAAGTAGGTTAAGATCAACTTTTAGTAACTTGTGATCTGTTATGACTTGACCCATTTAACTCATGATCTGTTTTGACTCAACCCTTACCTAGCTCGGCCTGCCCGTTTGCCAAGTCTAGGTGAAAGTTTAGCATGTCATCTTGCTTTAGCCAAAACACATGGCAAAAACGAGTTGTTGAATTGCCTTTATGGTTAAAAGCTCTTCCTTTACCGATCTCAAGAAGTAGTAGGCTGGATAATATTTGGACTGTTGCTTGAATTGAATTATCCATATCCAAGGATCCGCCTTTATGAATCATTGCCTCTTGCAACGACTGGTTGACACCCTTAGAATTGGTTACAATAACTTGTTTGTTCGTCTCCTGTAAGTGGCACATTGAGAACCATTGTTATCCTTCCTTGTTGGTTGTTGACGCTTGTAAATCCTTCCTTGTTGCTGTCGTTCGGATGATCGTGCCGGGGGGGTGATGTATGCTTCATTGGCTCGGCTGTTGATTTGTCCGTTAGTGGGTTATGTTTGTTGATTCCCACTTTTGTAGAATTTTGGAGTGTGATAGGGGTGATGGATTCCTGCCTCAAGCCTCCTCCATTTGCCAATTCATCGGCTGTAGACTGTACAGGTTGAGATTTGTTTTCCCTTCTTCCTGGTTACCATTTGCCATTGCCGCTCATCCTTTCACAATTATCATAACCAGGGACGAAGGCAGAAATTTGACTAGGGGGCAAAATTTAAAAATTTTTTTGTGAGTTATTTAGATTTCATTTGGCTATATTTTGTAAAAATATTTTTCACAACAACTTTTATAAAAATGTAAATTTATTATAATTAATTAATATTTTACATTGGGACAAAAAAATTAATATACTTTTATTAATTTTGATTAATATTTTATATAATTTTAAGATATTAAAAGATTTAAAACTTAATTATGCCTACTACATGATACTGATAAACGAAAGCTTAACGGTTGATATTAATATATTTTATATTGGTTTTTAAATCAATTACTATTTTTATGCATATACTACTTATATCATTTACAACAAATTTTATATTAATTAGATATATTTAATTATTTTTAAATAACAGACAATTTAAGATCATTAAATAAATAATATAAAAACATAATTTTTTATATAAGGTTATATATATCAAATGAACTTTGGTTTAATAGAATATAAATCATACTAAAAAAATTATATATAATTAATATAAAAACGTATATAAATTTATTTCAAAATAACTAGATATTAAATGAACTTTGGTTTAATAGAATATAAATCATATAAAAAAGTTGTATATAATTAATGTAAAAAC